TTGGTATTCAGTATTTTTAATAATTTTCATTTCCATTGACATCACTTGGTTTGATATTGACATATCATTAATAAATTCTACTGATATTAACTTATCTATCTGTTTTTGAAATACTGCTTTTATGATATTTTTTATAGATGCTTTATAATCTTTGATAAAAACAGAGATAATAAAAAATAGATAAATAAATCAAACCTTATTTTTGATACCAAGTTCCTTAAATTCAGCCTTATAGGTTTTAACAAAATTATTAATATATTTGTAGCTCTCTTTTAGCAAAATACTTTTGATATAAAAGTTAATAGCAGTTGGATAAATATTTTAAAGCTGTAAAAAAGTTGCATAATATACAGTATTTATAAAAAGTTTTTCTATTTGATAAAGTATTAATGACTTTATCTTCAGTAAAGTCTGTATCTTTTTTATTAAAGTCATTTTTAAAGTAATAAAGTTATAAAAATAAAATTATTTTTTTTATAAAAAAAATTGATATAATAATTATTGAAAAAGAGTTTATTATCTAATCTTTAATTCACCTTTAAGACATTTAATTTTTTTTTCAAGTTTTCTATTTTTCTTTTATATTTATTTATTATAAAAATTGCAGCTTTTCATATAATAAAGCTTTTTTTAATTCTTTAATTGTCTGAAAAGTTATGTTCTTACAAAATATAAAAATAAAATATTAGAAAATATATTGTTAAATAAAATTATTAAAAAAATTTTTTAAAGGTTTTACCAAATCTAAAACTTATTTTTAACTTTCTGTTCCTAAAAAAAAAGAGATAAAACATTAGTTAATATTTTATTAAATAAAAAAAATAAAAAAATAGAACTTGAAATTTATCTTCAAAATTTTATTATCTAAAAGCTGAAGAATCAAAACTTTACAAAAAAAATTACTAAAATGTTAAAAGCATTTTGTTATATAAAAAAAAAAAATAAAATAATTTAAAAACTTTTAGTTTTGCAAAACATTTTTTAACTTCATTTTTTTCTGATATATCTATTACTTTATAACATTTGCAATGACATTTATAACAGCTTTTTAGAGAGTCAAAAATCTACAAAAGAAAAAAAACTGAAATGTTAGTTAATATTTTGTTGAATAATAAAAAATTATAATAAAAAAATACAGAATTTTGAAGTTTATCTTTAAAATTTTGTTTGAAGACTAGAGTACTGTAAAGTTTTATTTAAATAAAATAATAGAATTTTGAAGTTTTACTTTTAAAATTTTGTCTAAAAGGTGTTTAAAAAAATGAAAGTCTACAAAAAAAAAAATGGAATGTTAGTAATGTTTTGTTTAAATAAAATAAAAAAATATTAATTTTGTAATAAAAAATTTATTACAAAATTTACCATATTGTAAATTCCATTCAGATAGGAATTGGAAAGCCAAAATTTAAAAAAAAATAAAAGAATGTTAGAAATATTTTTTTACAAAAATAAAAAAATTTTAAAGTTTTACAATAAAATATTGTGAAACTTACTATTTACTTGTTTTAGAAACGTTTGGAGTACTGAAATCTATAAAAAAATAATAAAGAACATTAATAAAATGTTTCTAATGAAAAAAAATAAAAAAAATTCATTTTGTATTTTCAGTTTACTTTGTATCCATTTCATCTTTAAATGGTTTAGAAAGCTATTTTTTAAAAAAAGTATTAAAAAACATTAATAAAATATTTTTAATAAAAAAAATAAAAAAATTCAAGTTTTGCATCTTTAATTTACCTTGCATCTATTTTATTTTTAAATGGTTTAAAAAGCTATTCTTAAAAAAATATTAAAGAATATTAGTAAAATGTTCTTAATAAAAAAAATAAAAAAATTTCAAATTTTGCAATATTTTGTTGCAAAACTTACTGTTCAGAAATTTTTGTTTCAAAAGTTTTTAAACTGAAATAAATTTACAAAAAATAATAAAAGAAACATTAATATAAAATTTTTTAAGGAAAATAAAAAATAATTTGGTTTGCAATAAGATATTGCAAAATTTACATTCTTCCATTTAGTGTCCCGCATATATAACTTAAAATGACTTGCATAGACTGACATAATATAAATAATATTGATTTGACCACATATTATAAACTAAATCATGCAAGTTTTTATTTACTTATTGATATTGCTTAAATATTTATAATAAAATTAATTAGTTTACGTAATTTTGATATTTTAGTTAAATAAAGTAGGTCTATAGTTAAAGTATTATAAAAATTAGTGTAGGATAAATTTTATCATATAAAAAATTGATTCAAAACTCAACTCAATTTGATTCGTGAAGAACACTACTTTTATTTTAGAAATCTTAAAGTACTAGAATCTATAAAATAAAAATAATAAAGAATATTAGAAATGTTTTTTTATAAAAATAAAATAAAAAATAAAGTTTTGCAATATTTTGTTGTAAAACTTACTATTTTAAAGTTTCAAACCTTTAAAGTACGAAAATCTATAAATAAAAATAAAAGAATGTTAGAAATATTTTTTGAAAAATAAAATAAAAAATTATAAAGATTTATAACATTGCAAAACTTACTATTTAGCCATTTTAAAACTCTTTAAAATAAACTTACAATAAAAAGCGAAATATTAATATAACGTTTTTTTTTTAAAAAAAATTAAGTTTCATAATATTTTATTGCAAAACTGCAAAACTTAACATTTCAAAATTTGCTATTTTGAAGTTCTTAAGTAAAACATAAAAAAAAAACATAATAATATTTTTTATAAAAAAATATTAAAAAAGTTTTGCATTATTACATGACATTGCAAAATTTATTATTTTTGAAATTTACTATTAGAACTGATGAAATAAAGAAATATTAGCATTTCTTATAAAATGGGTGGTAAAAAAAAGTAATAGTTAAAAAAAGCTTTTTAATGATAAAAATTTTTTAATGAATTTTTGTAAAGTTTATCAAATAAAAAAAGAAAATGTGAAAATTTTTGAAGATTTTTATCAGAACAATTGTGATATTGTAATTTTACAGAATATTTTAACTAGAGTTCCAAATGGATCAGATCAGGTCAGGTTAATTGATAAACCTGACCTGAAATTTTTTTTTAGATCAGATTAGATCAGGTTATATTAGATTATCTGTTTGACCTGACCTGAACTGAAACCTGAAAATTTTCAGAATTTATATTAAAATATCAAAAAAAAATGGTGCAAAACATTTTTTTTGAAATATTGCAATTCAGTTTTTTATATTAAAATCATATAAAAAGGTGAATCGCAATACTGCAACTAACTTTTTAAATATAAAATCAATATAAAAAAAGTGAATTCCAATATTGCAATTCACTTTTTATATATAAAGTGAATTCTGATATCACAATTCATTTTTATTAAATAAAATCAATATAAAAAAGTGAATCATAATATCGCAATTCACTTTTATTATATAAAATCAATATAAAAAGTGAATTATAATATCATAACCCATTTATTATATAAAATTATAGAATTAAAACATTTTTGATGAACTCTTTCCTGTACCGTTCACGTCCATTTTTCATACAAGAAATATTACGCTTTTTCTCGTTAAATTACTAGAAAAATAGCACTTCAGTATTAAGACAAAAGTGTTCCTTGGTTTAAACAACACACTTTTTATTATCACTCTTTTTAGTTCGAACCAGTTCACAAGGACTTAATAGTCCTTTAAAGACATAAAAGATTTGTTTTCTTGCAAAATTTTTTCAAAAGAAGGCGTAAATACGGTGCACCAATCAGATAAAAGATGCTGAATAAAGAAAGTTTTATCGGCTATACTTTTTTCCGTCCAGAAAAAGTGAAACGGTACACGGGGGCTGATACGATATACTTCACCTAGAGCTCCGCACGGGTAAGGGTCAATTCGGGTGACCAGTCGGGTTGACCCGAAATATTCAGATCAGGTTGTCAAATTCGTGACCCAGTATCAGGTCGGGTTACAGGTTTGACCCGACCCGATTGACCTGTCAACCCGAATACTTTAGCTCAAAAAAAATGTTTATACTCTGAAACGGCATTTTTTCATGTTACCTTATGAAAAAAACGCCGTTTCGGCATTGTTTTTTATAAACAAATACGCTGAAATGGCGTTTTTCATTTTATTTTATGGAAAAATACTGTTTCGGCATTTTTTTCACTTCTTTTATGAAAAAAATCGCCAAAATGGTGTTTTTCATATTATTTTATGGAAAAATGCCGTTTCGGCATTTTTTTTCACTTCTTTTATGAAAAAAAATCGCCAAACTGGCGTTTTTTCATATTATTTTATGGAAAAATGCCGTTTGGCATTTTTTTTCACCTCTTTTATGAAAAAAATCGCCAAAGCGGCTTTTTTCATATTATTTTATGGGAAAATGCCGTTTTGGCATTTTTTCCCACTTCTTTTATGAAAAAAATCGCCAAAACGGCATTTTTTCATATTATTTAATGAAAAAATGCTGAAACGGCATTTTTTCCACTTCTTTTATGAAAAAAATTACCAAAGCGGCGTTTTTTCATATTATTTAATGGAAAAATGCTGAAACAGCACTTTTTTCCACTTTTTTTATGAAAAAAATCGCCAAAGCGGCGTTTTTTCACTTCTTTTATGAAAATATCGCCAAAGCGGCATTTTTTTATTTATCTATGGAAAAATGCCGTTTTGGCATTTTTTTTCACTTCTTTTATGAAAAAAATCGCCAAAATAGCGTTTTTTCATATTATTTTTCACTTCTTTTATGAAAAAAATCGCCAAAGTGGCGTTTTTTCATATTATTTAATGGAAAAATGCCGAAATGGCATTTTTTTCCACTTCTTTTATGAAAAAAATTGCCAAAACGGCATTTTTTTATATTATTTTATAGAAAAATGACCTGAATACTTTCAGGTCAGACTGGTCAGGTCGGGTCAGAGCAGGTTACCTGACCTGACCCGATCCGTGCGGAGCTCTAACTCCACCTGAAAAGGAAAGTTCTACATCCTTTTACATGTGGATTCGTTACAGAAAGAAAAAGATATGTTGACGATTGTTACCAACAATAGACATATAATAAAGAAATATGATAAGCCTTTTTCGATTAATTCAGATCGGCCTATGATGAATACTAAATACAGGATTTCAAAATACTTGACGAGTGTATTTTGTGGGTTACCTATTGACATAGAAACTAGAAACAAGTATTTTTTAAGAATACGTCAATTATTATTGGATAAACTTGTAGTTATTGAAAATAGATTGAAGAACCAAGAAAAGAACAGGCAAACTACAACTTATATTAAATTTAGTCATGGTAGACGTACATGGTATTTGGGGTTCTACATTCCATGCTCATTTTGTAGTAACGTCTGTGCTTACGTAATGTCAAGAAATAGAAAAGTTTGTCAAAATTGTCGTTCGAAGGTGATAGTAACTCCTACATCTCCGCCGCAAAATGTGTTTAAGAATTTTAGTAAAGTTAAACAAGTAATAAGTAAACGCGTTGGCGTGTCTTATACAAAAAAAGTTTCGATGGATGGTGAAGCACGTAAATATGCAGTTACGTATTCAAATTTGCAGATAAACAAGCAATTTAAGACGTTGAAAGAACAAGAGAAGTATAAAAAGAGGTTTAAAAACAACCTCAAGAGTAATAAAAATAAATGGCAAGTCACTAAGGTTGCTTGTCTAAACCTTTTCAAAATCCTACGATTAGTTTCGCCAAAATTTTACTATAGATTTATTATAGTTTCGGCAGAGTTTCAGCAGTTTCGACATTTATAATAAGTTTCGGCAGTTTCACCATTCTCTAAAGTTTCGCCAGTTTTTTAATATAACTTTAATATAGTTTCGGCAGAATTTCGCTTTTCGGCGAAACGCCATCTTGCCTAAACCCCTAGGTTTCGGCAAGCAACCTTACAGGTCACAAATAATGGAATTGGATCAAAGGTACTTATTTCCAAACATAAGTTGAAATGTAGACATGATATCCTTAAGAAACAATACATATCAGAAAAAAAAATGGAGTTTCTGGTAGATCAAGTTACAAGTGAAGTTGGATATAAAATGTTAATAGATGATATTTTTATTAATCATTCTTTTAACGAAGAACATTTTCTCGAATTAAGAAAGAAAAAAGACGCTTCTTTTGAACGAAAAGATAGTAAGTTAGCAGAACAGTCAAGTAGTGCTGGTCAAAGT